CCTTCAAAAGTGCAATTATTTCTCTCTTTCCAAAGGACCCATATTATTGTGAGTGAAATTAATCTTAACATTTTTCTCTTGCTGCTGAAGCCTTTCCATGCTAGGAGTTCAGCATGAATGTTGTTGTTCATGACCCAAGATAGCCCCGTAAGACTAATAATGGTGTTCCATAAGTGCTGTGAAACATAACAGCCTAAAAACAAGTGGTTACAAGTCTCAAAATTGTTTTTACATAGAAAACATCTATTGACGATTATGAAACCTCTTTCCATTAGGTTGTCAAGGGTAAGAATGCAGCCTTTTGTAGCTTCCCAAGCAAAAAATGAAATTTTTGGAGTTGCACCAGATTTCCATATTATGTTGGAAGGGAAGCTAATGTTGTTTTGATTAAGATTGCCCACCACGTGGTTGTAGAGAGATCTGACAGTAAAAGTACCATTTTTGAAGAGTAGTCATTTTAGATTGTCCTCCTTGTCATAGACTTGAATTGAAGACAGAGTCTGTAGTAAGGATAAATATTCCTCTAACTCCCAATTTTGTAAATTTTTTAATACTGACACCTACCAAAAGCCCTGGTTGTCAAGAACTACAGCGTTTTTAACCAAAATATTTTTATTTCTGGCAATAGCATAAATAAGAGGGAATCTTGTTTGAAAACTAGACTGTCATGCCATATGTCAAACCAAAATCTTATTTTGTTGCCATTCACAATAATCTAACTAAAGTGTTGTAAAATGATATTGTTTAATTTCCAGATGTTCTTCCAAAAATGAATAATAGAGCTCTTGAGGGGATAAATGATGTGGAAATTTTTGATAAGATTAGGAATAGATGATTCTAGACTCGTGGCTTTTTTATCTTGGGTCATCTTCTTTTCTTCTATGGAGAAGAGAACTTTGAGAACCTTATTAACATTTTGGTAGATATGTAAATATTTTTTTATACAAATTAGCATGCCCTAGGTGCTTATTAATATATGATCTTCTATACATTTTATTTTAAAAAAAAAAATCTTATTCTTGCATCGTTAGGTAAGCAAAATAAAAATCCTCGTACCTTGAATTGAGAATAGAATTAGAATATGTTCTAACTTCAGTTTTATCATTTTTTTAGTGTATTGCTATTCCTATTAATAGATTTAGCTTTTCGAACCAAATATAACATAAAAACATTACTAATAATGTCACCAAGGTGCACCAGAAGCTTGAAGAATAGACAGAAGAGAGAAACTTCAAGATTGAGACCGATAGACAGCGAGAGAGATAGCAAAAACACAAAAGAGACAAGGTAGGAGACCTTTGCCACCATAATGAGGTTAAAATTTATACATGTAGCAATGCCACACATCAAGAGTAAACTAAATTTGCTTAAGGAGGTTTCTCAAGCAGCACGAAAAAGAGATGCAAGACTATCTTTCCCTTTGTAATATCTTAATAAGAATGGTAGATTTATGGGGAACGACGTCGGCCAAGCCACCTCTTATGGAAATGTGAAAAGATTAAATGATAGCAAATCATCAAGTGCTGGAACATCACATGATTTGTCAAGAAATAGAGCTCCAATGGAGGAAGAAAATAAATAAAGAAAATGATAAATAAAGAACAATGTTTCTTAAGATTTCAATTCAAAGAAATAAAATATATTTTACATAACACAGATTGAATGATGGAAGAAACTTAAATTAGTAAACTAAGAGTTTCAGAATTAAAGGAATAAATTGATTCTTTTAAGAAAAAAAAGAAGGGAATAAACTAATAAAACAATCATGTAAATGGTAACTACCATACTTGTCTAATATATTTTCGTTAAGATAAAAATATATAACATAAAATAACTGCTGATACTAAATTGAATTAGTTCATATCCTTTTATCTAAAAAATAATTCGTTTGTGCTGAATAATTCAAGATCGCATGTCAAAATAATTTATATTTCAAGATTTCAACAAACAAATTCCAATTTTTGATGGAATTTACTGACAAATCGTTTTACTTTTTTGCAATCAAAATCTTTTAATAGAATTAGGGAAGTTTAAAATATCAACAAAATTGACATACTTAAAACGAATAGTGGAGTTGCCCAAGCTTATAAACAAAACCTATTAATTTTAACTTGGAAAATGAATTATGCATAATAAAGATTTAAAACATAATTTGGTTCACCATAATATGTCATCTCCTACCCTTTTAAGTTAAATTCTATGATTCATCTGTTACCCTTTTAAGTTAAATTCAATGATTCAAAAAAAAATGAATTCCTTATTCAATTCAATCAAATTTATTCATTTCAAACAGAATGTTGATAAATTATTCAAGGAAGCTTGTTTGGGAAATAAATCTCAAAAATTCTCTAGTATCAAAAAAGGGAAAGATGAAAGCATGAAAGCAAGCCTCTCTCCAACCAAATCTATCCATGGACATAATCAATAAGATAGAATCTAGCATAGGAGTGCTGAGTATATTGGTGCCTGACCCACCAAAGAAAAACTTAACTTGACTCACCAACGAATAACTCAACTTTCACCAAATTTTCACAATGCCAAACATGCATGAAAACCATGAATCAAGTGTTATTAGAGCTCTAGATGAGAACCATGGAAAACTGAACAATAGAAAACAAACAAACAAACAAGCACAAGTTCAAGTATGGTTGTGATCATTATCCATGAGTGCCCTTAGAAGGTCTTTGCCTTAGATTAAAATATAGCGACAGAAATTAAAAGAGCTTCTAACAACTCTTGAGAGGTCTTAGATACATAGTACAAAGTATATATGACAAATGGTATTTGCCATGTAGGGTGACTTGGGGACCACCTCAATTCAAGATCATCATTGGCAACCTATTATACACTATCATTTGGTCCTGTGATTGGCAAGGAATGACAAGATCTTCAACAATAAAGATGTAATTGCAAGTTACATCCGTGAATTCGCTCAGGAGAGGCTAGTTCAGTGGATCAAGGCTCTATAGGAGGATTTTGCAAGGTATTCCATTAATCTAATGTTTTTTTACCTCTTAAGGAATTGTGTGGAGAAAACATTGATAGGCCATCTATTTGGGTTCCAAGTGAACTCAGGTGAGTTGAAGTTCAGTTGTTTTTTTTATGTAAATAAGTAGTTATATGTTAGACCACCAAAAAGATACACAAGAACACGACCTGGGACATTGAGACTAAGTTAAAGAGAAAGATAAACACAGGAGCTGAGGTGTGAGAAAACAAACACCAGCTAAGCATAAACGATAGATAGTTACAATAGAGTGACATTTGATGTTCTCCAATCAACTTAGCATATAATGAAAGATCTACGAGGTAGATCTCCCTCCACCTCCAAATTAGTGCATAACATCTATACCCCATAGAGGTGATTAGAAAGATGGCTGCTATGAGCTCCTGAGAGATAGAACAGCATCTGAAAGAACTATGCCAATAGTCAAGGTGTCTCTGGGTATCACACTGGTGGCATGAACACAAACCACCACCCTTGAAGAAAGTCTTGTGGTTGATGAGTACGTTGTAGCCTGCAAGGATTGGAAGTGCTCTAAGGGATGCAATCACAAGCTTAGATGCATGTTCTTTAAGAGTTGGATATTAAAAGAATCAAATGAAGCAGAGCTCTTGGCTATCAAGGAGGCAATCAGCATTGCAGCTTCTTGTGATCCAGTGTGTGAGAAGGTGTTCTCGATGGAGAATGATTCCATGGTTACTGTCAATTGGGTCTAGAATGATATCCCTTGGAGATGCAACAGTCTCAAATTTCATAGCAACCAATGTAGTTGTTCAATCAGTTCACCTTGGGCATGGAATAGAGAAAGAAATTCTATAGTGAATGCCTATCAAGAATAGGCGTCAACAGAGATGTTGATTTGTTGACGTTGATTTGATTGTTATTGAGGCATCGAGTGTGGGGATATCATGTGGTACAACTTGCAGGTTAAGTCATTATATCACGTGTAATGAAAATGGTTTATGATGATCTCCTCCTAGTACTTTGTTGCTCATTGTTTTGTTTGCTTTGATTTGCAGCTCATGCGGGTCTTCCTCATCTGGTAGGCATTATTGAGCTACTTTGCTTGTCTCTTCTTTTCTATTTTGAATATTTGACTTTCAATTCTAACAATTACTTCCAAGGATAGGCTAGTGTACTCCTGCTGGAACAGCTGGTTTGATCTATGGCAATGGTTTTTGGGTGTCTTTGGTGGTGGGCTTGTTGTTCGATGGTTTTAATTCCTTCTGGTGTGGTAGATAGGCCCATGGCCTGGTATGTGTTCATGATCATTTTGGGTTGTGGTTCCCTCGGGGTTTCTAGTCCAAAGTGTGGCTCCCTCTAGAATTGTTGCTTTTGAAGTAATGTCGGCTGTTTTTGAAGTGATGAAAAGTCATTCCTATTTCTTTGCACATTTGGTACTTCTACTACAGATGTTCATTAAGAATCTAGTCCTGGAACTCATTTTTATGCTTACTCTTGTGATCGATTCTCGTTAGTCCTAGCTGGCTTGTGGGGATGCTGAAGCCTTTTTCATACAGACCAAGTTCAATGTTTTGCACTTTTTTTCTTTTTTTTTAGCAATTATTTTCTGCTGCTGCTTTCCTATGATGTATTTAGTTTGCTATCCTGTCTCAGAAGGAAGAATCTGCTTCCATAATCTTTATACATCACACACACTTTTCTGTTGACTTTGTTTTCAGACCCTTCTTATGGATAGCCTTTGTTGAGTTTAATAGCTATGCATGCCACCACCATTCACAATCGTGTTTGGTGCTCTCATGACAATCATTCGGAGTCATGATTGTGTTCAAGTGCCTGCTTCAGCCGCTTGCCTACCTGTTGGGACCTGGTCATGGGGGCGCCAAGTGAAGCCCTCTTGACAAGCACATAATTAGGGGGTTGACTCTTATGAATATATTTTTTGTCTTTGGCCTGCTGTTGTAATTCCATAGTATCCTAACTTCTAATGTATTGCATCTCTATTTCTATTCAATAGAATCCTTTGGAGAAGTGTTTTGCTTTCCATTAAACTAAAATAATATATTGATCTCTCTAATAGAGTAAATTTATCGTTTCATAGCCATTTCGCCTCAAATTATTGTATAAGAAACAAAAATTGAATTGAAGATACAATTATGATTAAAAATAAACTTTTATCTTTACCTATGGATCTTTTCTCATACTTATTCAATTGAAAATAAGGATCCAATTCAAAAATTATGTTTTGTAATTTCATGATCCAATTTATTTTTGATACTGAGATTCCTTTGGTGGTGTTGTATATTCACCTAGCCAAAAAAAAAATCAAATTTTATTTTGAAGAGCTTATAAGCTTGCTAAAACAAACTAGTACTGACCAAATAAATGTTAATAATGCCCTCAAATAGTTTTAAAAATTCAAAATCTCAAATCCCAAACACTTAAAAATAAAGCTATCTTTTTATTTCAATTTTTACACTACTATGCTTTTACCAACCATATAAACACCCTAATAAAATTTATAAGCACTTGTTCTTCAAACAAGTTAACAATGTATCTTTAATGGAAAAGTTTGACAACTTATCTGTTATAAAAGCACTTACGGCTCTATTCATATTAAGCTCCTGCAACCTAAGCCAAGTAAACACCCTCTAATCCCTTTATATTGGGGTTTATAAAACTGAAACAGTTCACTATTTTTTAATTCTAACCTACTGCCATGATCCATGCTCTACATTGATGAGAACCCACTTTGATGATTTTGAAACGGAAAATGCACATCAAGATCAAAGTCTAGACTCTTCAAGAAATTAAGGTGGATCACAACTCACTATATATGTGACAGAAGATTATGGTATTCGACATATTAAGTAGAAATTAGACCCCAAAATTTAACATTAGATGTCATATCTATCTAAGTCAACTACAGGACCATTCAACACTAATAATGGAAACCTTGATTTTCTCTACTCAATTTTTCTAGTGAATGATGATCTCCCAAATGACCACACCATTACATGCTTGAAGCCATGATCCACCAAAATTATAGCCAATGAGCACAAGTCACCAAATACACCAAAAAAAAGAAAAAAGAATCTACAACCATTCATTGGCCGGCTAAAGGGCTAAAGCAACTAGATCTTGAGCACAAAGCTAATATTTCCCTTTGCTAAAAACTTGGTTTCTCATTACTCAAAACTATACACCTCTAGCCACCATCAAAAGGACTTTCCAACAAGAAAAAGCAAACAGTAAATTTTTATGTTGTTCTCCTGTGGAAAAAGACTTGACCCAGATGAAGATTTGGGCCCGCTAGGTTTAAGTCCTAGATTTTTTTATCAAATTTTAGCTAAATCAATTTCTTAAAACCTTATGGAATGATGTGAGAGAATAGAATAAATTAGACTTTCATACAATATCTTAATTGCTGCATTTTATGTAATGATCAATAAATTTCATTTAATTTTATATCTAGACAATGATTGGAATCGACAAACAACCAATACCAACATTAATATATATATTAGTGTTGAATAATAATCTAAATGGGGCGTAGCCAAGCGGTAAGGTTACAAGTTTTGGTCCAGCTATTTGGTAAGGCAACTTTCTGTTTCATCTAAGAGTAGAGAGAATGTGATTCTTGTTTCTAATTTTTAATCATTCAGAGGGAAGAATCATTTCTTTTTCATCACTTGAATCTATTTAACTTCTACTTGTAATCCAGGCAAGATGGAGACATTAGATTACAAAGTTGTAATTATTTAAAACTCACGCTAGGCATTGTTTTTAAGAGCATATATTGATCGGTAGAATGAATGGCCCAACATCTAACGCCTAGATAATGAAGTAAATAACACATACAGCTAACCTAATAACCACATAAAATCAGAAGAAGCTGCGCTAAAAACAAGAAAATACCTGAGTGATCATTAATATGCAGCAGATAAAAGCGGCTTGTTGCCCCCCAAGACCAAACAATAAGTGCTGCTGAAAACGAAATAGAATCCAAAAATTGAAGAAACACGACTTGGAAAGAAAGAAATTTAGATCTTCAAACATGGAAACAAAATAACGATCCGAGCAAAATCAGAAAATTAATACTAACCTCCATATGGAAATTTCTCAAAGTTCATTGATCATGGGTGCGAAAAATCAAAATAGCGCCGGTATATTATAAGAAGAAGAAACAAACAAGATATTCCCATTTCTGGCTCCCAGGCGTACTGACCCGAAGATTTGATCCAGGCGGGTAGTACTCCTGATCTCCCTCTATCTGGGTTTCTTCCTTCATATTCCCGCTTGCCATGATCACCAAACCCAGATATGTAAACTAGGAAAACATAAAATCAATAGGTTAAAGAAAGGAAAACATGGAGATGCACGAGTTTGGGAAAGAATAAAATCGTATGAGGAAAAAAAAAGGATATTACCTGAAATTAATTCATTAATTAATTACCTTCTGTAGAAGCCGATTCAAAGAGGTCCCAATATCACAGCCGGGTAACATGGTGTTATCTGAGAATAAAATAGGGAGAAAGGGCAAGGAAATGGAGGAAGAAGAAGAAGAAGAAGAAGAAGAAGAAGAAGAAGAAGAAAAGGGTTTTGGAGTTCTTGAAGAAGGTAACCGAAAAACAACGATCCAGAAGGTAGGTTGACAAATTTGACATACAAACCCCGAAAAACACAGAGTTTTCCGTTAGAATTTGAACAGTAAGAAGTAGTACCTTCAAGAACCCCGATACTTTGGTCGTCGTCTTCAAGAAAGAGGACCATCAAAAGACACGCTCTTAAGGCTCCATCACAGGAATAATTAATTACTATAAAAATAATATTTCTGTACTAACTATTTACTATTTTAAATACAAAACCAAATTAATTTTTTTAAATATCTCTTATATCAAAACAAGACATTCCTGATACTTTCTTCTTTCACGAAACTTACCCAGTAGAAAGAGAAATCAGGATTGAAGATAAGAACAAGCGTACTGCGTGATGATGAGCGTGATGATGTGGCCCTCCTTTGCTTTATCCTGTATAAAGAAAAGTATATACACATATATAATAACTTTTTATATACGATTCGTGAATCTGGGTACCATGGACACTTGTAGGAAGAACATATAATGGGGGAGACAGGTGTCAACGAGATCGGAAACGGATTAATTTAGTAGGAATTTTCTGGGGAGGAAAACACAATTGGGAAACTGAAAGTAGCTGACAGAAAGAGAAGTGAGCACGCACCCGCAAAGGTATGCCTTCATACAATTGCCTGCGTGTGCTCACTCTCTTCTGTCAGTCTCTCTTTGTGTTTCGTTACTGTCTCCATCCTCCTCTTTCTTTTTCTCTTTCGCTCAATATTTATACATATATATATGACCACCCATATAAGCAAATAATCCTATATACAAGTAACCATATAGTACTATAGCAGATCCCTTGCGCCATTTATACATAAATGGAGAAACCAGCTAGCTGGGGACCTTAAAAAACTAGCTAGCTTCTCTTTGGGTCAGATCTGATCCCTCCCATTTTTGGTAAAAATCCCAGGTACATCTCTACTATTTAGGTTTTATTTTTCAACCAGTCAATCCCATCACCACATTAAATCCTCTCTACAAATCCCGCCGTTTCCTTCCTTTCTTCAAATCTGTAAATACCTGCTTGCTCTTTCACCCAGAAATGAAGGAGAAAAAAAGAAACCCCCTCAACCCCTCTCTCTCTATCTCTCCTCTCGCGATCTCTGCTAACTTCATCTCCTATCAGCCACCCTTCAAGGTGTCTGTCCACCCATATCTCATTTCCCGCATACCCATATCCCCCTATATACTGTATGTGCATTTATATATGCACACACATATATATACACACACAAAGATAGATACAGGTAGATGAAAAGATGGAGCGATGGAGGTAGAAAATAGAAAGGGTCAAAGTGGAAGAGAAAGATGGAAGAGATGAGAGAGAGAGAGAGAGAGAGAGGATTTGTGTTTTCTTATTTTATAATTTATATAATTCCGTTGGTAGGTAGAGAGAGAAAGAGAGAGGGAGGGAGGGAGAGAGATAACTCTGTACGTACGTGTTCATTCAGAGAGCTGTCGTGTCGAAAGATGATTAGCCGATAAGAGGTAAGTGGGACCCACTTGGAAGATTAACATCAGTGGAAAAAGGGGATGTTTACGGTTCATGATTTGACGGGTAAAAAGGAGTCGTTGTGAGCCGTGTGATTGTGATCAGAAGGTTGCTATCTGGGGCCCATTGTATCTGTGATGTGGGTTTTATCTTGGAATTTGTGCTAATGCACTGATAGGATACAAGTGCATCGTGTAAGAGAGACACGATTAAGACTAATCACCTTGATTTGTTAAATGTTTTCACTTGAAAAAAGTTAGGTTTTCTTCTTAAATATATTTTTAAAAAAGATTAACGAATTTATTTTAGTGTATGATTGGATTAAATTAACTTTAATAATGCAAGTTATTTAAATTTACATATTTTTCTTTATTTTAAGAGGTCAGGTCTCTGTTTAAAACAATTAAAATTTTCTTAATAAAATTAAGGTAATATATTAATGATATAAAGGCAGTGACAATAATAAGAATGGCATTGGTAACACTAAGAGTAACTATATTTATAATAGCAATAATATGTGTGTATACATATATTTATATATTATGTATATTTTTATATTATTTTATACAATTCAATCCACTTTGATTCCAATAATAATAACAATAATAATAATAATAGTGATAATGATGATATATATAGATGCGGTAATAATAATAAATACAGTAGTTGCAATAATGATAATGAATAGATAGATTGCGGGAGAGATGATGGTCAATGGCAACAAGGAATGAGGACATGACAATAGGTGTGGTGGTGGTTACACCGAGAAGATACGGATGTAAATAAAATTATGATATAATAAACGGGAATCAATCCGTCATGATTCGTGGTGATTATTTTGATTAAAAAAATAAATAAATTGAGTTAAGGTAGTTCTTAATAATTATGTTCAGTTAGTCAAGTTTATAATTTTAAAAAATATTTTTTAAAATTTGATTTAATTATTTATATATTACTCACAATATATAAATGTTAAACTCGTTAATACACAATAAGCAACACTTATTTATTTATTTATTTATTTATTTGATAGTTTCGTAGAAGCATAAAATATTATTTATGTTTCTATTTATAATCACCAACATCGCCATGTGCGAAATAAAAAGTTAGGTTTAGTAATAATGTTACTTTTCTAGAGTGAAATTTTTTTTATTAAGATATGATTAATATTTCTAAGTGAAGATTATAATATGGATAAAGACATGATTGGCATCAAAAGATAGAGATGTATGCAATATGAACAATGTAAAAATAAACAATTTTGATGTTTCAAACTAATATATGCTAAAATTATTTTTAAAAAAGTTTGCACTATTTTTGTCGGATTTTTTTATTAAAAAACTTTATATATTTTTTTAAAAAAATCGATTAAAATCACAATTAGTCTAAACTTGTAATATAAACACCTTTTTCGTTATTTTTTTTTTGTCTTTTTTTTTTCTTAACAGGCAAACATTTTTTTCTCATTTCTTTTGTTTCTTCTCGATTCAACACTTTTTTTTTCTTTATTTATTCATATCAAATTTATGGTTTGGTTGATTTTGATCCAATTGTTAAGCATATATGTATATATATATATATATATTAAGAGAGAAAATAATAATTTATTGTAACGATCCAACTTAGGAGAATTTAATCGTTACATAATATTTATTTCATTATGAAACATAATAATCTTGCTAGATTTAGTTTAATTTAGTAACTGTAACCTTCACAACATACTATTAAGTTAACATTTAAATTTAATTTAATCAAAAATTATAAATTGGCAACTGTGAAGTCATATTATACACAAAGTGATAACTTTTATATTTTTAATAAAAATTGAACTCGTAATATTCAAATAAAATAAAATTTGATTTGAAAATATCATTAGAATTTAAATTTGTCCTATTGACCTATATGATTTAAAAAATAAAAGAATAAAATATATTTTTCTCTTATATCTTCATATATATTATCTTTGAGCTAAAAAAGATGCAATTTAATATTTATAAATTTTAATATTATCAATAATGCAAATAATTTGTTGATCATATAAAAACAATAAATAATATATGTTTATATAAAGATGGAGTGTTCTCAGCTACTTGAAGAAAAAGAAAAGGAGATTTATTGCATGGAAACAAAACAAAAAAAGTAAAAGGGGGTATCGTCTTTCACATAAATAAAGATATGAAATAGATCAATAACAGTTATAATAAAATAATTAAAAT